ATATAATTGCATTTCAAAAAAATTATGCATTGTATAATATACAACATTTTTTTTTAAAGCAACTATATGAGTTTCTTTACACTAATTGATCAATTTCATTGTGTACATAAAAGTATTAAAGTATAATTGCCAAAAAATAAATAGTTTACGATATATTTTATACTTAATGTCAAAATATGTCAGAATTAAGTATAAAATATCTCGTAAATATCTTGATTTTTCAACAATTTTATTTATATTTTGTAAAAAAAAATCCTAAATGCCATTTTAAAGAATGACTATGATCTTTAGATGATAATAAAAAATTTATTTTGCGTTAATTATTTTTACCATTATTTGTCCTCTTCAGACTACTTTTGTCTGAAACGTTTTTCAATATTTTCTATATTTTTCGTGATATTTCGATGCAAAAATTAAAATGAGATACTCAGTATATATATATAGTTTTAAGTTTAAAATATACATTTTTTATTATGAAATTAATTGTGAATTAATTTCTTTCTCATGTATTCTTTTTCAACGTTGATATTTATATAATGCGCATAAATAATATTTACTTTTTTACTTTACAGTGTTTTTCTATATGATATTGATATGTATGCATCATATATATTTGCTTAGTATTTTATATATAGGTTTAGGAATAATTATGTCACGCAAAGATTTCTGTTATTTATCCCAGCGTCAAAAACGTAGAGTTATATTGCGCGAAAGTAACGCATTAAATATTTGTGACTCTCAAAGTACTAAAAAAATCTGTACAGAGAAAGTAGATAGTATTAATAAATCGTTTATTAATAAATCTGTTATAGAAAGTGACAATAACTGTAATTCAAGTATAAATAATTCAGAAAGTGACAATAACTGTAATTCAAGTATAAATAATTCAGAAAGTGACAATGCAAGTATTAATACTTGTAATTCGGATATAAGTTTAAATATAAGTTTAAATATAAGTTTAAATCAAATAAATATGAATCAGATGTTAATACTGATACTGATTTACACAGTTTATCATCAGAAGACATTGTAAATACTGAAAATTCTATACATGATGATTTAAGATCTTGGGTAATTAAATATAAAATTAGTCAAAGTGCTGTGAATGGTCTATTACACATTTTGTTAAGAAATAATTTAAATGTGTCAGTTGATTGTAGAAAATTAATGAAAACACCACGTAATATATCATCACAAATAATAGAAATGAATGATGGAAAATATATTCATTTTGGATTTGCAGAAAGTTTGAGACATTCGATTAAAATGCATTTCCAAACATATCCAGTAGAATTAAAAGTAAATATTAACATAGATGGTTTACCTATATCAAAAAGTTCAGGTAGTCAATTTTGGCCGATCTTAGGTGCTATAGTTGCAGATTTTTATTCCGAGCCATTTGTTATAGGTATTTACCATGGAAATACAAAACCAAAAGATGCCGATGTGTTTCTAAAATCATTTGTAGAAGAAGCAAAATGTATTCTCGATAATGGTTTGAATATTAACAAAATGATCATTCGTATTAAATTAAATGCTATTATTTGTGATGCTCCAGCAAAATCATTTATTTGTGGTATTAAAGGTCACACGGGTTATTTCAGTTGCACAAAGTGTATACAAGAAGGTGAATTCATTAATAATAAAGTCGTTTTTTTGGAATTAAATTCACCCTTGAGAACGGATCATTCCTTTTCAACTAGACAACATGAAGAACATCACGTTGAAAAATATTTAACTCAATTAACTAGTATAGAAACTTTAGGCATTGGAATAATTTTTACTGTGCCAATAGACTGTATGCACCTTATTTTTCTTGGTGTTAATAAAAGAATACTTCGATTTTGGATTAAAGGTGCGATAAATATTCGATTACCTGCCGTTTCATTAGATAAAGCTCAACAACGTAATAACAAATTAAAAAAGTTTATACCTGTTGAATTTGCACGTCGACCAAGAGATTTGTTGGATCTAGATAGGTGGAAAGCAACCGAACATAAACTTTTTGCATTATATACAGGAATAATCATAACAAAAAATGTGTTATCTAAAAAATTATACATGCATTTTACCTGTCTATGCGTTGCTGTAAGAATTGTATCGGATAAACAATATAAGCATATGCTTCATTACGCACAATCTCTTTTTGAATATTTCGTTCGAAAATTCCGCGAGTACTACGGAGATCAATATTTATCACACAATGTGCATAATTTGCTACATATATGTGAAGATGTAAAACGGTTTGAAACAATCGATTCTTATTCTGCTTTTAAATATGAAAACTATTTGTATACAATAAAAAAATCGTTACAAGTCAGTGGTAAACCTCTAGAACAAATAGCTAACAGAATTATAGAAAAGAGAAATATAGAAAAAAATTTTCGATATTCCATGAAAGATTATCCGATAATTTATTACGACAAAAATAAGACAAGAGTAAAGAGGGTAGAATTTGATGGATTTATGTTATCATCCAACAATCCCGATAATTGTTGTAGTCTTATAAATAATATAATTGCTACGGTGAATGATATTTATTTTAGCAATAATATTCTATATTTTAGAGTAACACAACATCTCTCTGTTGAACCATTTTTCTCTTCTCCGTGTGATTCAACGCTGGTAGGAATTTATAAAATCAGTGAAGCAGTTTTGTCATATGCAATTGTTACAGCTAATGAAATTTCGCGTAAATGTTTAAAAGCAGATAATATTATGTCTTCTGATGATGATCATTCAAGTATAATTATTAGTTTATTACATTAGGTTTATTATAAAGTAAAGGGTGGGACTGGTTTGACCACGTTGCAATTGACCATCAGCCACTCAGCGCTTCAACAGAGAAAAATCTCTAGACACCAGTGAATGGTTGTAATCAATCGCAATGTGTCAAACAGGACGCTCCAAACAGGACGAATTATTATACTATCTATGCCTAAGTGATATTTTATATTTTATTATTATATATATGATTGTACTGAAGATATCATATACTTCGCATTGAAATGAGTTTCCCATATGCGGTTGTACAATTTCCAAAAGAAGGGACATACTCCGAAATTCCGACCTCGTGGCTTACCAAAGATTGCACCAAATGTAGATGGCCAACAACAAAGAATGCTAACTTTTTTATTAAAAAAAATAGTCCGCCAGAGGCTGACTGGCAACTGTTTGATGTTAAAGTAGAATGCTATTGTGGTAAGTATGCGTAAAAATTTAAATTATTCTAAATATAAATTATGCAATGTTAATACAGAATTTTAAATTACAGAGAATTTAAATAAGGCACGGAAAAAAGCAGAAGATTCTAATTATGCTACTTCTTCTGACGAAACCAAAGGGCGTGGAAAAAGAATAGTACACGAGAAATAGTTCGACGATGAATTTGATACTTGCGATGACAGTATAGATGACGATGATGGTGATTGTGTTTTGTTTCTACTACATTAAAAATCAAAGTTTATGAAAAATATATTTTTTTAATTTTTGTATGTTATGTCAATGATTCAATTTGAAACAAACTGTGTTCATACATACTTTAATAATTTTTATAACATTTTATAGATTTACCTCCGCAATTTACTAAGGCTTCACATAAGAAGTTAAAATCAAACAAAAGTCATAATTTATCCGAAAATAAATCTGACGGTAATTGTTTTCTGTTTCTATTTTCTATTTAAAACTTTGATTTCTATTAGAAACCAAAGTTTTAAAAAAATTATTTATTATTTTTTTTGTGTTATGACAACGATTCGATTTTAAACAAAATGCTTATACATATTTTATTAACTTTCATGATATTTTATAGATTTACCTCCGCAATTTAATGAGAGTTCACATAATAAGTTACAACTAAATAAAAATCGGGATTTATCCGAAAATAAATCTTTACCTGATAAACAATTAGTGCATAACCAGTAATCTTTGTGCAAAAAAGTCATAGATTTCGATTTTATTTTATCTCCGTTAGCTACAACTGACGACATTGGTAAGAACCTTATGTTATCTTTATAGTGCTATTATACGTTTAAATTGGCTTTTATCATTATCATGTTTCTGATCAAGATATGAAGTTAAAGCATAATATATTTAAAGTAAATATGTTATACTTTAACTTTATATCTTAATTAGAAACGTGATAGCGATAAAAGTCAATTTAAACGTTATTTTAATTTATTTTTGTTTCAGAAAAACTGTTTCCAATTTGTGTGGAGACATTAAAATATATAAAAAGCATTGATAAGAGATTAAAATCTTTGGAAAAAAACATTAATGATGTAGAAGAATATACGAATACATTTGATGAGATACTTCCCATTAATTCCATAGAGAACTGGATAAAATTCGAAGAAATGTTGGAAACTAATGAAACAAAAGCGACTTTTGTAAGTTAATTTTTTAATATAAATAAATAATATTATAATTATCAAATATAATATTTATTACATCTAATTACCTATGAACGTGTTTATGGTCTAATCTAATCTATATGCTTTTAAGATCGAATTTATGAAAACAATTGGAGGAAAAGGCAGCAAAAATATGGTACAACGATGTATGAACCGTTTGTTTACCAATAAATTTGGTATAATCTGTTCGTGGTGTGGTCGTAGAAATAATTATCGCAAGTGTGATTTAAAATGCATCCGCCTTCTAAAATGTGAGCTATTTCAATAAGTTGCATATTATTTTTTATCTAAATTAGAATTTTATTTGCAATATTAATTGTACCATTGTGAATCATACTATTGCATTAACTGTAATAAATAGTATTAAATAGTATTAATAGTAATAAATAGTATTAAATAGTATAAATAGTATTAAATTAATTAATATTTTATTATGTTTTATTATATATAAGGTACATTAAGAGCCAAGAGGGTCGACGAATGTGATTTTGAAGCTGCAGCTAGCGAATGGTTTCGCCTTTCCAAGTTGCGACATGGGCGAGAAAACAAAAAGGAATTACTTGACGATATGCATGAAAAGGAAATAGATGATGCATACAAACAGATATAATTCATTATGTGACTGCTTGTCTTCCTCGTGCCGCACAATCGAATCGGCGAGTCTCACCACCACCTTTTCTTTCACTTCGTATTTTACTAAGTTGTTTTTTGTTGCACGCGTACATTTACGATTTAAACATCTCATTAAAACATACTTGTTTTTAAAATCGAAGATTTTATATATACAGGGTGTCCCATAATAACCGCACCAGACTTCGTGGGCAGGTAGAGCAGATAAAATTGAACAGAAAAGTCCTCTACCATTTTGCAAAATTTGTAATCGTTAACAAGATATTAATTTTTGAAGATCGACGAATAAACGTGTAATCGTCCGCCTACTGCTGAATGCAGGCGCTCGGCGAGATACGACCGCCCACCGCTGGTAGTTCCTAGCCGGTAGTTGACGAGCAGTGAGGCGGTTGTATCTCGCCGCGCGCCTGCATTCAGTGGTATGGCGGACGGATATG